CGACTCGAAGTTACCATCGAATTGTGGTGAATATCCTCCGAGAGACCGCGTATTATCCCCGGAGCGCCGTCTCGACCTCCTGGGTAATGAATTGTGGCGGATTGTGAGAGAATAACATACAATGTCTTTTAACACGCGGAATTGTGGCGAAATGTGGTACATTCGTATAAAATAAACTAAAATTAATGTTAATAAACTATATTGTGGCAAATTGTGGTAGAATCCATTGAAATTAAGATTGATTGCCTTTCCTCGCGTGAAATGTGGTACAAATTTATGAAATGGTTTTAAGATGCATCTCTCAATATAATTTGTGGTAGAACCACGAATGAACTATCATTTAATTTTTCATGTCATTTGTGACTAATCTTTTGATTTATCCTATTTTCAGGTAACCCTTCGGCTCTATTTTGGCGAAACTTAAAAAGTGAGTATTTAACTCGTGAACTTGTGACTCAAAATGATTTTTAACGCTTATTCATTATGTTTCAGGTCCCTGTAAGTGGTCCGCTGCGGAATTGTGGTAATTATCGTCGCAGGTAAGTATATCTTTTATAAATTGTGATTAACTTTTATCATAACGCATTTTTATTCGCTTTTCGCAAGTATAAAATTAATTAATAGATTCGTAATTTGTCTAGTATTGAAAGAATACAATATAAAATATCGCGCTCACTCATATTCATGCTCGTCATTCAGTGCGCTTACAAAAAATAATAAAATGTGGTAATACAAAATCTCTCTTGAGCCTAAATGAAAATACATTTAAAAAAGAAACATAATTAAAATCTTCGCAATATCTTGGATGATACATAAAAAACATATAATCTCGAATATTACATTATAACAACCCGTAATACGTTCGCGCTATTTATCAAGCGACTTTTCTAAGAAATATATTATTACATCAAAAACTGAGGCTAAGATATAAGCCCCCACAAAACAACATAAAAATGTGGTAATGGATCACAATACACTTAATACTGTCATTGTTACTCAAGAGTTTTTATTATCGCTTCCGTCTGACGCAGTAGTTCCTCACAATTGTTCACATGCGCGACGGGTTGCGCCACAATAGGCGCTATCATCGGCACTCCCGCGCCTGCCTCTATATTTCGGACGAGTCTCTCAATGTCGTCCTCCGCTTTGCTCGCGTTATCTTCGTCCTCGACTGCCGAGTCGGACGAGACATTCTCCAGCGAGGGCTCGGTTGTGGTCCGTTGGCCCTCCGTTGAAATTTCGACGACGTTGCCGCCACAACTTGGAACCGGGAGCTGGAACAGATCCGGTTCCAAGGGTTAAGGAGTAGTAGAGTTAGAGGGGTTAGTAGAGAATCGAAATTGAGTTAGCATTTTTTATCGATAGTGTACGACCCCCTCTATCACCTCCCACAAACCAAAGTGTCGTAGCTATCTTAGTTCGCCCTGGGGAGTTTTCAGAAAATTTTGAAAATTATAAAATTTCGTATTTTGAAAAATCCAAAGGTGGTTCCTTATAGATCTCGACGAGCCCTACAAAAAAGGTCCTATGCACCAACCTTGTATCTGTTGTAGTTTAGAAGTTACAGGACTTTTTATGTCCCAAAATATATTTTTTTAGGATTTTTTCAGGTCTGGTATTTTTCCCTTATAGAACTCGTCGAGAGGAACAAAAAAGGTCCTCTTCACCATGGCTCTATCTCCAGCCGTTTAGCTGTGGGAGTTTCGAAAGTTTCTGAAAAGTCAAGAACGACCTCTATAGGCGAAAGGACAAGAGATAGAGGCATGGCGAAGAGGACCTTTCTTGTTCCTCTCGTCGAGCTGCATAAGATGGGGGAAATCCTGGAATTTTAAGAATTTTTTTTTTTTTTAAATTTTTTCAAGTTTCGACGCCTTCAAAAAGTGAGAAAAAATGAGGGTGCTAAAAAAATTTGAACTATAGACATCGTATTAAATACGTAATTTTTAGCAAAATTTTTTTTTTCAAAAATCGAAAAAAAAATTTGAAAAAATGACCCAAAATGATTTTTTATATTTTTCGATTTCTG